CGTATTCAGAGTATCAATATCAATTCCAACATGTCGGCCCCTGCCATCACAGTTTTTAAGGTTAAATTCACCTAAACGAGATTTGCTGAACCATCACTGACACTTACAAATGTTCAAAACATTTCCATAAACTTCTTTGATATTCCTTGTGGCTACAGAGGTGTTGTTTCCATTCTTGTATTCAAACAGCATTACATACCTATTGTGTGTCTCCTCGTGTGCCATCGTTATAAGGGAATAGATTATACTAAACTTTACACTTTATACAGGCTCCACTAACGTGATGTTTAGGCAGCTGGTTTAACTATTATACATGATGTACGTTTTTTTGGGGGTGGTTAATGAAAGTGTTTCAAAATGCAACATTAATTTCTTGATGACCTAATAACATGAAGGGGTAAAATTCCAACCAGGTTTCCCACTAAAACTAATTTTTGGCTCTTAATTCAGTTTATGTCTTCATGTCATGCTCCTTTTGGTAGCACTCAACACTATATGTTGTCACTTAGCAACAAAACTATCATAATATTGTTGTTAGGCCAACAATGTTGTTTATGTTGAAAGCATAATGTACATGTTAATTTGTGGTTTATTTTTATTTTCTCTGTTTTTAATAATTTTGGTGATATAAAAGCAAATGGTTTAATTCATAAACTTCTTAAGTTAGTATTGGAAAGTTTCAAATCAATCAAACAAGTACGTTACTTTCCAGACAAATGTGGTAACTTAGTTAAGGATGCAAAAGAGCTAAAGGAAAAAGTGTTCCCTAATTTTTGGCAAAAATTATTAACAATCGCGTAAAAGAGCAATTCTTGCACCTCAAAATGATACTGTTCATGACATAAACAATCAGTTACTGTAAAAGATTCCCAGATAAGAATTCACCTGCAGCTCAATTGTCAGTATTCCAGTTACAGTTGATGTTGTAAGTTACCCAACTGAATTCCTAAATTCTCTTGAACTACCAGAGATGCCAGGTCACATTCCAAAATTAAAGGTTGGTTCACCAATAATGCTGCTGAAAAATCTTGATCTTCCAAAATTATGTATCGGCAGAAGTTTAGTTGTTAAGATTTTACTGCCACATGTTATTGAAGCAACTGGTCATGCCAAGGGTGAAGATGTCTTCATTCCAAAAATTCCTTTGCTACCAAGTGAATTATTTAGAAGGCTCCAACTCCCAGTTAGAATTTGTTTTGTAATGTCAACTAATAAGGCACAAGGTCAAATTTTAAAGGTTGCTGGATTGTTTCTAAAGCAGCCTCGCTTTTCACATGGTCAATTCTATGTAGGATGTTCAAGGGTTAGATCTCATCAAAACCTGTTTATATTGTCAGAAGAAGGAACAACAGCCAAGAAGCTTTAATTTAGATCGGTAAGTTTTTGTTTGGAAAATCAAAGGTTTAGATAAAAATTAAATGCAATGAAAACTTAATTTTTTAAATAAACGTTCTTTGATGTAATTTCAGTGTTTTTAAATACTTATTTCAAGTAATTTGGACACATGTGCAGGGAACAGGTAATTCAGCTAGCAAGGGATAAAAACAACTTTGCTCTAGTATCCTATTTTTTTGCAAACTACCATGTCAAATGCTTCTGTCATGACACAAAACTAGGTATTTACTTGACATACTGTAAAGGTATGTTCGAACAAACAATAGTAGATTTTAAAAGCTGGTGGAATAATACAAATTTTACAATTCAAAAAAGAATTCACATCAACAACTAACAAACAGCATATTATCAACCAAAAGTCT